TCTAAATAAGGGTTGCACCTACCCATGTCAAAATAACCAACAGTAAAACACTTTCTCCCTGAAAACTGCAGCCACAATGAGGTCAGTAGGACAGCGCATACAGTCATTGCATTGAGAGCACAAGAACACCTCCCTGCAGAAGGTGGCCCCGAAGCAGAGGCCAGGGCTGCTGAGACCAAGCCATGCTTTCTTACACTTTGCCCCAAGTGTAAAACCAACCAACCCAGCCAGCCCCACAGGCTCAATACTCACACGCAGCTTATTCACCTCAATCATCCGTTCCCAGTGCCTACGCACTGCTAATATGACATACCCACCCTTTCTTCTGCAAGCTCACATACCTTAAACTTTTTACTAGGCCAACATTTGCACTCAACTCAGCCAAAATCCCCACTGGTCCAGGATAGCTTCACTAACATATCTCTAAATTTTTAATTAAAAGTTACCTGGATTTATTATTTACAATAATGAAAGATTGAATAAAAAAGAAAATGGAAGTGGTCTCACCTACATTTTTAAACATTATAGCAAAGTACTATTACTAGTAGTTCAATGGGTCTACAAAGAGTTGATGCAACACAAATGTATTTCTGCCACAGGATCAACTTTACAGAGGGAGTAAGCAATGAGCAGAAGGGGATATATCAGTGGCTGAGCAGCAGAGAAAACCAAATTTTGTCTTACGGAACATGGAACATAATTACAGAGTATTAATTCCATCTCTCTGTGCATAAGCATACTAAACACACATGGAATGACACTAGTTATGAACTGCTTATGCTTTCAAATACCTGTAATATTCTGAGCCCTTCTGACACAAACGTCCTGTTTGGATGTCACCATAGTCCTGTGGTGACTGTACCACAAGACTTTCAGTCGGTTTGCCACGGGAGAAGACAGCAATACATATCTTAAAATCACTTTTTTACATAGTAACTCCTCTCCTGAAACAGAGAGGCTCAACAGCCAACACTCCAAGATCAAAGAAAAAAGTATTGTTGCTATTCACTACTTTCCTCCCCAAAAACTATTCAAGATACTCAGCCAGTAAATCAAGGAAACTAAAACAAAACTAAAACCTAAGTTTGCTAGAAACAAGGACCAGAAAGCCTTGCAAAACTGCACCACCTGGCAATGCTCCTCAGGGTAGCACACACCATGTTCAGCCTTCCCCAGAGATACAAGAACTTTGCACAATCAAATCCATTCTATTAAAAATAATTCTAGAATATCAAACACGGAGAAAAACACATATGCTCTCTTTTTCTTCTTTTAAGCATAATAATATATGTGCACTCTCTCTCTGTGTATGTATACACGTATGCTATGTATGTATGTATGCATGCATGTATATATATAATTTATTTATTCTTAAGTTCACGGGGTAGGAAGAGTTCACACTTCTAAAGTAAATTCTTCCTTTCCCTCCACTTGATGCCAACGTCTGCGCTCCAGAGAAGTGGTCCCTGAGTGCCCCTACCAAGCCATGGCAGCATAGCTCATGGAGCAAACTGAAGTCAAGACCATTGACACCAAAAATCAGAGGGAGGGTGCAAAGGCAGTGCTATGACCCTAAGCTGGACCCAGGAACGAGCAAGCACCACGCTGTTGTAGTTTCTCGGTCAGCCACCAGTGGGAGGCAAGTGCTCACCGTGCACTGAAGCGGGACCTGCACCCTCACTTTCTGCAGGGTAGCTACACATACAGCCCATGCAAGGAAGGTGGGGCTCGCAGACATTTTCACCCATGTTGACCACCATCTCCATTTCAAGAAAATTCAGTTTCTTTTACAAATAAAGAGAAGATCAAAATTTCAAAGGTGATCTTGCTAATAAAATTGTGACCATGGGCTTAGCTGGCCACACTATTGTTGAACAAGCCACTAGTTTTTTGACACAGCACTTATCGCTGTTCAAAAAGAGCAGAGGATAAAATGCACAAAGAGAAGGAAATGTTATCATTTTCTTTCCGCTCATCTAAATCTGTCCCCATCAGGCTAATGGAAGTTTTACTATTTATTCACAGGAGGTTAATTGGCCAAGGGGAAAAAATTACCCTCCTATTAAAAATTTCCAGCCTATTTAAAGTAAAATTTTTCTGGAATTACTTTGAAATATTAATGCTGGCTGTTACACATTTGTCCCCAAATACTCTCTTTTTTTTTGATGACACTATAGTGGCAGTTTTGGAATCTCAAAACCAATCTTGTTAACATATTGTCTTACTCAACTAAACAAAAATTATAACATCCCCAAAGAAAAAGTGACAGTGTTGTTTCCATTTCATATAGTAAAGGTTGTAAAATTACTTTACTTATTTCACTGGACTATTTAAATATACAAGTATGTATTTTTGCCCAGACTATACCTAGCCACTTCAAAACCAAGATAAATTCACATAGTATAATTTAAAGATTTATCCTTTAGCAGAAAAGAAGTTAATGGAGTGATAATGTTTGAGATTGGACTCAGCAAATCCCACCTATCTTCAACTGGAGTTTTAGATTTTAGTCAAACAATTAGGGTCTCTCTGCATCCTTCATGGAAAGAAAATGGCATTCCCTGTGCTACTGAAAGATAGCAGTAGCTTTTGAAAATGCATCAGTAGACAGGTGCTAAAATAAATGCAGTGTTAATGGCAAAGTATTAACAAGAAATCATACACCCTTTTCCTTTCTTAGTGGGCAGTAACACACTAGCAGAACTGATTTGAAATTGCTTATTTCTGATGCTTTGGACATCCACAGCCCCTATCGATCCCATGCGCAAATCTCTGTGACCTGACATCTGTAGCCACCTGTAGCCAACTGTGGTACAAGTGAGTAGCTCAGCTCATAACAAACACGTTACTTGGCCAGGGACAAATATTAATCTTTCTGAGTGACATACAAAAGCTTTAGCCAGGAAACTTCTTTTCCCTCCCCCACATCTATCCCCCATACATTTGCTATGTATCTTTCAGGTTCCCACAGATCAGACAAAATTCTTATCAAATAGCCCTAGTTCAAGCTCAGATCAATGTTTGAGAGCTTAATTCTACAGGCAAAATAGTGTTATTTTAACATAAAATTTTATGATGGAAGAATGTCTGTCAACAATTAAGCTCTAAATAGCTGAAAACTAAACAAATCAGTTTTGTTTCTCCCATCCTGAGGAACGACCACAGCCAAAACTTCAGCATAGCAAAAGCAATCAAAACCCTACAAAAACAAGAGAGGTAAACTCAAAGATTAGATTACTTAGTTGCCATTCCCACAAACACATATTGCGAATAGTCCTAATGGTTTCCAAGTAGTTGTTCACAGGTAAGGTGCTCAGCTACACAGACAGTTATAGGGTTAGAAATGTAAGATTCCAGAAGTCCAAATACAAACTAAATGGTTTCCCTCAAACGTGATTGCATTCATGAGATTTAAAATTGCCGGAACACTATCTTTTACAACTTGCTGAAATTAAATTTCATTTTAGAATTCAGAGCAGATATCTATCAACATTAATCTTGCATAAATTCAATTTCTTTCTGCCACATTTTCATATGAAGAGTTTGGAGTAGGTACAACTCCAAAATATCCCCGTGTACATTCTTGATTTTATGAAGGTTATGTTAATTCAGTACTCATAGTACTAAATAATACTACTGAATAATACTAGCTATTCTTGTCTAGCTAGTATCATAAGCATAACCCAATGAACAATAAGCCAAAAGTCAGGACATTTCCTATTAAACAGGTACCTTCATCAGGAAGTATGTTTGGAAGCGTGTTTTGTACTACACTGCTACATTGTCTAATGCACCTTCTCATGAGGAAACCACATAATTGTCTCCAAGTTTTATATAAATTTCCCTTCTGCTATGCGGGTGTTTTATTAGGATGATGGGACTCTCAGCAGTGGAAAAAGCCAGAACAACAAAATTAACAATTTTTATAGCTAAAATATCCCAATCCCTA